TTTGACTTTGCTATGGTCACACACTGTGTCCAATACTAACATTTTACACAATCTCCTGCTTCTAAAAAAAATAATTAGCCATTCATGTTTCTCTGTATACAGTTCAATGAAGGTTCAAAACCTCTTGATGAAAATAGATGAGAAAAACACCAGTGTTGCAATAAACATACTTCTGAAAATGTTGGCACAGGCAGAATTAAGTAGTCAGCCTACTTCAGTCTCTCTCATAGCAATATATTTCCCTGTTTTTTTGTGTAATATTCTCAGAATATTATTAACTAAATCTTTCCACTGATGGTTCCAGTGCACCAAAAATCCACACTGAATGTTATAACTACAAAATGAACATAGCAAAAAGCCAGAGAATAATACAATATTAATACCTAGTTAATTTCTATAATAGACATAAGGAGGAAAAAGTAAAAAGACAAAACAAAACAGGATCAGACATTGGTTTCAAAAGTCTGTAGTTAGTGGCTCAACTATGATCTCACTGAATGAAGAAACAGATTTTCTCTTGATATTTGTGGAAACAGGGAAGGGACTTGAGTCACCTAGAGATGCTGCAAACTGAATGATGTGTATCCTTGAAGACTATGGGGGAAGCAAAGAGAATGGTTACATTTTATTCTATGTTCACTGCTATTTGACACTAGATATAGAAAGTTAGTCTTAATAGCACCAAAAAGCTTCAGTCAGCCACCAGAGCATCCAAACACAGTAATAAAGATGCTTAGTAATTCTTTTCTCTGGCATCCAGTGGAGGTGATACTGAAATGACAGCAAAAAACAACAGAGGTCCTAACATAGGCACCCTGTGCTTAAAAAGCATTCCCTGAGCAGTGTGGTTGGGATTTGACTCCAAGAAAGATCCAAAGGACAATTAGGAAATAAATCCATAACAGTTATGAAAGGCATCTTACCTCAGCTCATCCTCAATATCACAGCAGAGGGTAAAGATTTCAAGTTTCAGAAGAGAAAAACAGACCAGTATTTTTTAAAATTATTATGTGAATAGGTTGTTTTCTTTACCCCAGTGTGCATTTTTTATTGAACAGGTTTAAGATTCAAATTTTATAATATACAGTAAAAAACTCATAGTGCTAGGTTAAAAATTCTCCTTTCTCTTGCAACAGCATGTAGATTCACATTCCAAGTATCACTTGAGCTGTAGGCAAAACAGCTGCTATTTCACTGGGGTTCAAACTTAAAACCAGTTCTTGTTCCTATACACACCACTTAAGTTTTCGTTGTGAATGGAAGGTGCACGCAAGAGGCAATGGGTCAAATTCTAGTCTCATCCAATCAGACATAAAAATAGCAAAACCCCATGAAATCATGGCAGGCAGAATAACACACAAAAGAAGCCAGGTCTTCCAGGCAGGAGCACTAATCTGTCTACAAAACAGCCTCGCACATTTTTCCTTTTGCCTTTCAGTCAGTCTGTGTACAGCTGTGACAACCATTTACCATTTCTGCCACTGCTTATCTTCAGGGCAACCATTTATCAGTACAAACAACCTCTGCCCTCTGTCTTCACCAGTTGCAATTGTGGATCTCCAGTCACCCCACTGTATTCGACTGGATCCTTGGCAACTCCCCTCCCCCTTAGGAGTGGTGTCCCAAAGACTGAGTTTTGATTTGCATTTGACAAGCATTCCTGTGTTAAAAGAATCTGCAGGGTGTTCACAGCTGAGGGCAAATTGCACACAAACCAGTCATTTGGAGCTAGTGACTATGCCAGCTCCAGACATAGATTTAACATTGTGGGTTTTACAAGACTTTGAAGCTAACCCTAGAACAATTGTCAGCATTTATAGTGGTGATTTCTAACATGCCACTGGGGATTGCTTCATAATCAAAAAGGAAAGAAAAAGAACCACAAAAGTAAAAGTCCTGCCAGAAAAGAAGTAGACCAAATCAGACAGATGGTTAAAATTAACTGAAAGGGCATCCAGATTTGTGATTTTCTTTTTCCTTAACAGCAATATCAACAAACAAGTTAAGAAAGCTCACAGTATTTCTTCAATTAACTGTTCAAACTCTTAGTCTCCTTGTATTCCATAGGTGATCTGTCAGCACCATCAGCTTCATCTCCCATAAAAACAGGGCAAGTGGGGGTAGGTGGAGATCTCACACTGTTCCAGAAACTTCTCCTTTTTACTAAGTAGCCTTTTTTTTTGTACACTAAAAACACAGATAACCCATGTTCTCCTTCTTTGATCATCCTTCCAGTGTGGAGTATTTTTAGGCATTAACCCTGCATCAGAGGATATGGATTATCTGTCCCTCTGTAATTTAAATACTGTTACACAAGAAAAGGAACAAAGGGGTCAAGCCAGTAACTAAAATAGCTGTTGCAGTATTAAGAAAAACTGGCTAACTCTTTTTGTCACAGAGTACCTCTTGGGAGATAATAGCAAAAGGCCAATTTTTCTACTCCAATTAAAAAGTGAAGAGAACAAAGAGAAGGAGGATTCAGCTACAGACCTGACTGTCTCCTATAATTATGGTCTAAAAATAGGAATGTTCTCTCTGGCAGGCTGGAGACGAATCAAGGATGTTACCTCATCCACCTACTCAGGGTCAGACCAAGGCAGAGCTACACGAGACCTGTGTCTAAACTTTGCGAGACCTCTGCCGTAGCAGTGATGACGTCCGCAGTCCCCGGCACCTGCTTGAGGGAGAGAGTCTGGAGCTCAGCCTGATGAGGACTGGATTTTATCCCGCCTGCCTGGGGCCAGCAGCCTACGGAACAGCACGGCTGTGCCCGCACCCCATGGCCGTCAGCCCGAGCCTGCTCTGTGCCATCCTTGTGGTCCCAATCATAGCTGCTATTTTTTGGTGGCAAATTACGCACAAAACCAAAAGGCAGAGTGCCACACTGCAGTATTACTGAAACATCACACTAATGATGTGTTTTTCCTGTCCTAGCAGAGGGCATAAAGGCATTCACTGACCTCCTGGGTTTACATGAGGTGAGAGAAGCCACATGTGGAGCAACATGTATTTGCACTGCCTGTTTGTAAAGATCCTGGGATTGAAATACCCTGCCAGCTCTGCCCAAGGTCCCCTTGCCCCATCTCAGAGCAAACTAGCACACGTACATCCTGAATGATGAAGCATAGGATAAGGTCCTTGCAGCAAAGCAGGAATTACGATAAACCATTAGAATTTGCTCCCATACACTCTCCAGTGACAGAGGAAATGATGTCAAAGAAGTTCACCTATGTGCTTTTGCTTCTCCCATACCATTCCACTCTGAAAGTAGGTCCCCAAGAGCTTTTTTTTTTCTGCTTGATGCTCAAGTCTCCACTCAAAACATAGAATTCATGGCCACTAGGCTATTATCTTCAGGGCTTGGAGCCATGTGTCTTTCTTCTTGGGTGGCTTCCAGAGTCAGATACTATAATCAGGATCAATTATGGATTTATTCCTACGAAGAACAGCCACCTCTCATAGTTTATTCTGCCTCTTGGGCCAGTGCATGAGACAATTCAGATTCCTGTGTCCCAGACAGAAGATAAATTCTTGAAAAAGACACAGGAGAAGCTTTAGCAGACAGGATTTCTTGGAAATATTTCTCCTACATACAGTAGGCCACAATGTGGGCAAAATGTGTCATTCTAAAGTTATTACTAGGTCATGAAAACCCCCCTGAAAATCTTAGAGCAATCTATGTGAAAATATTTTGAAACATCTGAAGATAACATTTAAACATCAGACAAAAGAAGTAGATGGATGAACCAAAGAAGAAAGAGGGAGAAAACCCTAGCTTTCTCATATATTAAGCTTTGTCTGTACAGCAAATGGAAATTCATGGCCCACCAGATGGAGGAGTTCCTCATGATTTTCCTGAACAAAACCTGAATTATCAATGAGCATCAAAAGAACAGGTCCAAGCTGAACGATCCTTGGCTGTAAGAACACCTCACCCACATAAACAATTGCTCCAGCAAAACAAACATAGCCAGGCTACAACACTTCTTTTTTCCTACTTAGATGCAGGTTTCAATAGTTCTGCTCTATTTTATGTGCCATGAAGGGGACAACCCCAGTAAAACTGCAGTACGCCTGAGTGCTGCTTGTGCTGTTGCACTGCAGTCAAGCCTGCTCCCACACAAGAGCTCATGAAGCTCTTTATGCATGGAGCAGCTGGAAAAAGTGTGTCGTCTCAGCCAGCACCTCACAGAAACATCACGGTCCTGCTGAGTCAGCAGTCATGGTAATCACTGGGGCAGATATGCCAGCCCTTTCACACTAATTGATGGAGCTGTTGAGAATATCAGATATCACTATTTTGAAAGTTTTATTTGTCACTATTGCCAGATGTCAAAGTACACTATTAACATAGATGTTAGTGGTATCTGAGATGCCTGCAGTGAGGTTATGGTGACCTATATAAAGTCTCTGTTCACATTCCTGTAGTCTGGGACTTCAGATGAGTCCTATGAGCAGATAAGTCATACATTTTGTAAGTGTTTATTTGTTTCTGATTGTACTTGAAGCTCCATCTAATTTATCTGCGAGACCTTTAAAAGGTCAAGCATGACCCAGTAAACCATCAGAACATTAAAGAGGCCTTTACAGACATACCACACTTCAAGCTGAAGAATTAAGGAGCAAGCTAATAAGGCTTGCTCCTTAATTACAGCAAATTAAAAACTATTCTTCAGTTGTTTTAAAAATAGGTTACTGAAGTAACAACCACTTTCTTTCAACTCCTCTTGAATTAGGGGGGAAAGTAATGGGGAAACACAAGGAAGCGGGTAAATCTTTCACTATTGATTTGTTTTGTTCTGCACCTTTTGCATTGTGTAACACAAATGTGTCTTAATAACTCTAACATATATCCCTTTGAGAGAAAGGGATATATGTTTTAAAACATAATTCTTTCTAGAGTAAAAAGTAACAGTAGGATTGAGATTTGCTACCCTCAAGATGCCCAGATTAGACAAAATCAGTTTACAAAGCAAAAATATGTTTTGTTACCTACTCACCTCATATACCCGCATGGGCTCTCTGTTTTGTGCACCATTGCCACAATTACTTTAATTTCAATTGTTGATTAAATATGAAAAAGGAAGAGTCCAGTGGAGCAGAACAGAGTGGGGAGAATGGATACCGAGATGGCTTTGAGACCTTCTCTCTGCCTACATCTCTTCTGGAAGACCTGTTCCCGCATGGGCTGTCAGCATAGCCAGGACTCAGGGGTGTCCAGGGATAAAAATCTTCTGTTGGCTGCAAAGAGTAAGGACCAGAATAGAAGATGCAGTAACAGCTCTAGTTTGAAATATGTTTTGTGTCCTCTTAATTGTGTTTTGAGTGGTTAAACTGCCATTGCTGTTTCTCAGTTTAATAAGAACTGTGCCAGCTGCTCATGTTCATTAGTACAAGAGAGAAAAGTTAAACTAGATTATGAGTACTTGTTTCTAAATAAATAGCCTGTCTTATTTTCAGTGTTTATTTTTAGTGAAAACTACAGATAGGATGAGTATTTACTTGTAACATTTTTTTCATTTTTCTAACTTTAAAAAAAGTCATGGCAAAATACATAACATATAGGTATAAAATGAGAATTTGGCCCTGCTTCTTTATCCAAATGTAGAACTTATCCTCCATATGAGAATAACTTGGATAAGAGTATTGTCATCACTTGGGTATGCGAAGAGATAGAACTAAATTTTAGTTAAAGCAAGCTTATAATTTTAGCAATACACTTCCTTTTTGCACTTTCTCAGTCCCATTTAAAAATCCTCCTTTCCAACTCCTCCAGTTTGAATAACTATGATCTTTGGACTTTTTCTGAGCTGAAACACAGAAATGGTTTGATTTCATTCTGAAGCTATTGAAAAGTTACAGACAACTGCAAGCTTTCTCCCATGTTTTTCTTTTTAAACCTCTGCAGTTTTTTCTGGTAGGGAAAAAGGAGAAAATAGAAGGAGTGAGTAGAGTCAGCAGAAGTACTGAAAATTTAAAATAGTGAGAACAGTAAACTGAAATTAAAAAAAAAAAAAAAAAAAAAAAGAGATATATTAGCTGTCCAAATAATAGTTGAAATTAATTTTTCTTTTAAAATTTCTCCATCACCAAAATGAAAAATCAAGTCAGGATCATTATTCTCTCATGAAAAAAGCCAAAGTCAATAACATCACACTTTTCTGAGTTATACTGGTAAGTAATATATTGGAGGAAGAAGCAAGCATAGTTAGAGTATTGTGTACCTATTATGAAATGCCTCAAGGTCTGAAAGATAGTTTTTTCTTTTTTAGACTGTGTGAGGCTTAACCATCTATCACCAGATGACTGGGCTGGTACATGCCCATGGTAGAACAGAACAGAATGCAACACAACACAGTAAAGAAACCCTAGATTTGAGTTGTGCCGCTATGAACAACTGCAAAAAATTGTACTGTCTGTTCCTTATGAATATATATATGTGTGTATATATATATAGATATGCATATATACACCTTTCAGCTGTTCTTATGCTCCTCCAGTGAAGCAAAAAGCATAATCTAAAAATATCCTGCTGTGCCCCTGGTTTTATCCATCACATTCATATGACATCTGCTGGCTGTCAAACAATTCTACTAATTCTACTGATTTTGCACATATTTTCAATGATGGTGACAGACCTTCACTTCTGGACAAGTAGAGTAGAGTAGAGTAGAGTAGAGTAGAGTAGAGTAGAGTAGAGTAGAGTAGAGTAGAGTAGAGTAGAGTGGAGTGGAGTGGAGTGGAGTGGAGTGGAGTAGAGTAGAAGACATGGATCGGAATAATCCATACATGGGTGTCTCTCACATTCATAAGTATCCTGTTACCAATGTTGCATTCTCCATTTATCACCACTATGTTGCTAAGCAAAAGCATATCACAACAGGTATGATTCCAGGAAGTGACTTCAGCTGATTTTCCATTTTAGAATCATAGAATCATTTAGGTTGGAAAAGACCACTAAGATCATCAAGTCATGATCATAATTTTGTGCCTTGTTAGTCAAATTAAAGAGGACAGGACTGGCCAGTACATGACTAACTGCTAGGAGGAAGATGTGCTCTTTGAGAACTGAAATAACTCACAAAAATATCAGATCCCAAGGGATAGATAGAGCTAAGAATATGTGGCTACTTTCTAATGCCCTTGGATGAGGCTTTGAGAAACAAATGCTACCATAGCAAAAAAACAACCTCTGCCCTGAGATAAAAACACTCTAAAATCTGCTGGATAAAAAAGTTTCTATAAAGATGTTTCTTTAACAGTTAATCTACAGAAGTAAAAGATCTAAGTGTGATTTCCCCTTTTTTAGGAGACAACTGCTCAAAGAAAGAAGATCTGGCAGTTTTCTTGCAGAGAATATCCATCAAGACTTCTCTTCAAGTAACCATGATGCAGGAATTGAGTGTTACTGATGAATAGTAGGTTATCCTGTGTCCCTCCCTCTCATTTCATTCTCAAATAGATTTCAAATGCAGTATTATATTTCCAGTATGATTATGTTATTGTAATACTCCAATTCGGACAAAAGAGTCAAGCAACTTGTGGGTTTTCAGCCCTTCACTTAGCATTCTCTTAGCTTTTATACAAATTATAATGCCACATATTGCTCTTCAGGAGTGGAACTGCAGAAAAGCTTTAACTGTAAAACTTAGTGGATATTGCAAAGAACATCAGGCTTGGTAATACTTAGAGAACAAGAGCCAAAGACCACAAATTTTCCTAGGAACAGAGGACAGGACAAAAAGGACTCTGAAAGGCTTATTCCCAAGCACCAGTCCACATTTACATTATTTCTTTCTACACAGTTAGTGGAGGAACAGCTCAAAGAAATTCTCAAACCCCCATTTTGGCTTCAGAAAAGTTAAAAGATCAAGTTGGGACTTCATCCCCACTCCAGGACAGGAAAATAAAGACAAAAAGCCGCAAGACAAATTGCTGTAGACCAGAAGATTCCTCTTCAGCCAGTCCTGAATTCACAGGACTGAGTAAACATATTTGCCAGCTCCTTCTTTGTAGGAAAGAAGGAGGAAAGACTGGGTTTAGGCTTCCTGGCAATGTAGCCACAAGCGAATTAACCACATCAAAGTTTTAAGAGAAAATGTTTCAGATAAAATTCCCCTAACGACAATGGAATGGAAGAGAAATGATGGGAAACCTAGCAAGTCTTCAGTTCTCTTTGTCATCCTGTTCTGTCCCTCTTCCCACCTAAAAAGTAATATTTTCTCAATTAGGAGTAGGGACAAAGGTAGCTACAGGTTCAGATTGGGCCTGTTGGAGACACTCCAAGATTTTGCTACTGAATGAAGACTAGAGTGTCTCAGGAAAGATGCTCTGCTACCACAAGGATTTCATAGCATTCACAAGGTCATAGGAAATTCAGTTTGGATGGAGCCACAGGAGGCCTATATTCCAACTTCCTACCCGGAGCAAGGCCACTTATTAGCTCAGATCAGGTTGTTCAGATCTTTATCCAGCTGGAGCTGGAAAGCCTTCAATGATGGAGATGGCACAGCCTCTCTGTGTCCCGGCTCCACTGCTGCACTGTCCACATGGGGAAATCTGAAGTTGTGAAAATTCAGGTTCACCCAAGGATGTTTATTGGAAAAAATTTATACTGAGATGTGGTTTTAGAGGCAGGTGGACTGAAAGTTACATGCTCTTTTTAAAGCTGTGTTAGTATTTGTTGTGGAGAGTTAGTACACTACCAATACGAGCTAACTCTATTCCACCAGTTGGCCAGATAATACAGCCAAAGAACTGAAACTGCAATGAGAACAGGAGCCTTACTCCAGCAAATACAAGATCAATGTAACTTGTATACTAATTAGAACAGAGAGTTTTAAATTATTCTGATATAATTTTTCTGCAGGCCTGGCAAAAGATCTATTCCTTGGAATTTACCAGTACAATTTTTTTTTTTTTTTTTTCAGCTTGGAATTGTCTTCAGTTGCTGTGAGCTTAAGTACAGCAGTTTCAAACATTTGGTGAAGTGACAGAAATGACTGTCTCCATGAAAAATATCACAATTCAGTCCTCAAACGTCAGATCTGAAACTGCGACATAGACAACTGGAGTTGCATGTGTTCAGAGGCAAGCAAAGGCAACGTCAAAAGCCTGACAGCACAGATGCACTGAGGAAGGTAAAACATCTAAAATGTGGAGTGAGAAATCCCAGGCTACAAGCTAGGACATACAATATCTTGAGTAGGTGATATAGGGGCAAAAATCACAGCTAGACAGTAGGAACACAAAACACAACATAGGCTGGTGGTTGAGTTTTGCACTAACCGGTAAAAGAAACCTTTAAAGATTACCCCATGTGGGCAGGGTAACATTTTCCATTTGTCTGCTTAAGTTCCTTAGACCCTTAGGTACCTTAAGCCGTATTTCAGGTATCTGCGGGGCTAAAGACTCTCTCACAGATTTCCTGGACAGATAACAAAATCCTGAAGTGCACCATGAAATACAATGCATTCACTAAATTACTTACCTTGATTGCCTTAAGAATTTTATAATTTTGTGACTATTAAACTGAGTAACAGTTGAATGGTCTTCACAGGATATAGGATGGGATAGTTCAGTTGGAAGAGGCCTACAATGATCATCTAGTCCAACTGCCTGACTACTTCAGGCTGACTGAGTTAAAGCATATTATTAAGGGCATTGTCCAAATGCCTCTTAAACACTGACAGGCCTGGAACATTGGCCAGCTCTCCAAGAAGCCTGCTCCAGGGTTTGACTACCCTCTTAGTAAAGAAACAGTTCCTAATGTCCAATCAGCTAACTTGACAATGGTGCATTAAACTCCTGCATCTGGATCACTGATTAATATATACAACAGAACTGGCCCTAGAATTGAGCCCTGAGGAACACTGCTCGTGACCAGTCGCCATCCAGATGTAGCCCCATTCACTGCAGGCCCTTGATCTCTGGTCTTCAGGCCCCCTTCAGCTCTGCCCCTTTTAGGCTGGGCTGCTGCAGGTAGTCATCAAACAGTAAAGAAACTGAGACGTGGGTTATCCAACTTCTTCTGTAAAATGAAGACACCCGATGCACTGAATCAAACATGATCAAAAGTAACACAGTGCTTGTGACTACATTCAATATATTTATTCTCATGGCAATAGTAAAAGACCCTTATAATAGCAGATTTGACCAGAAGAGAATTAAGGAACTAAATAATATACTGTTTGCACTAAATTAAAACATTAAATATTTCAGAAAATTCAATGACGATGAGT